GACATCAAGAACAACAGAGAACTGCTACGGACTCTCGCGAACATGTACAACGAGAAATTCGAGAAGGAACCCCGCTACTACTACAATGCCAAGCAGCGTCGAGAACGGAAACGGGATGGTATGGCGCACCAGAGCCACCGGGACGACCGAGACGACGAAGCCCTGTTCAGCGACGAACCGCTCGGTGCCGGACGGGTAGAAACCGCAGATAGTCTACTCGTGGGGGCTCAAGAGGTGAACCGCCGCAACTGTCGACATGTGCAACTTCCGGTGGCAGGACGTCTACTACCGTTCATGGTAGACACTGGAGCAGAAATCAATATCTTCCCGGAACCACTGCTCAAAAACCTGGACGTTCAAACGCAGTTCTCCGTAACCGGCCTCGAGAATCCACTACAAGTCAAAGGCGTCGGCGGATACAGCAAGTGCGATTCGCAAGTCCGCATCACCACGTCGGTGAATGGTCAGGTCGTTGAACTGGACTTCTACGTCCTACCTACACCCATGATGAAGTACCCGATGTTGGGGCTGCCCGCACTCCAACAGTTAGGCGCCGCCGTCGACCTAGCCAGCGAAAGGCTGGCCACCCATCACGGAGACCTACCACTGGTCCAAGACCCCGACCTAGTGGAATGCGATTCCAGGGTGAGTGCCCTTCAGGAAGCTGAAGAATCCTTCACACTCAGCCAGATCGAAGAGCGCATTAACCCATCACTGTCCGTCAGTCAGAGGCAGGACATACTCAAGCTGCTCACAGCCTACGACTCGACATGGACAGCTACGAAGGTCGGACGTTGTAAGGTACTAGAACACCGGATCGACACGGGGGACAGTAAGCCCATCAAGCAGGGCACCCGGCGATACTCACCGGAACAGAAGCAGGAAATCCAGCGACAGGTCCAAGACCTGCTGGCCGCGGGGGCCATCGAAGAGTCAGACAGCCCGTGGAGGTCACAAATAGTCATGGTTCCAAAAAAAAACCGGGGAGTGGCGGATGTACGTCGACTATCGCGCCCTCAACGACGTCACCGTCCCGGATACCTTCCCGCTGCCCATCATCGAAGATCTCCACGATCAGCTAGGGGAAGTGGAACACGTGATCACTAAATCACCGGTGTGCCGGCTTCCACCAAATCAAAATCAAGGAGGAAGACAAACCGAAGACTGCCTTCGCCACCCCTACCGGACTATACCAATTTCGCGTCATGCCCTTCGGACTTATCAACGCTCCTGCCACGTTCCAACGGATGACGACCAAACTCCTCGAAGATCGTCTAGGGAGCGGGTGTCTCGTCTACATTGACGATATCGTAATCTACGGTAGCTCGTGGCCGTCACTCATGAGCAACTTCGAATGGGTACTCCAGAGACTGCGCGACCACGAAGTATTTCTCAACATCCGCCCTCGTCAAACCGATCCAAGAACTCATCACTGCGGAAGAATTCGTCTGGTCCGACGAATGCCAACGGAAGTTCGAGGACATCGAACATCTACTCACTGCATCCCAACCGTCACTGTGCCTGCCGCGCTCCGGACTGCCTTTCTACCTGGACACC